TGGTAAAATTTCCAGGTTCTGTCTCTATGAGATGAAACATAGAGATCATATCTGGGAACCAGTGGTAAACAAAAAGAAATATCTATGAATATTGAATATCTCCGCAAAAGAGAAGTGGTTTGTGAAACAGCTGTATTTACAAAGTGCAACCTATAAATATTTTACGTTTCTGGTTGTAACATATTACAAGTCTTTGAAATAATTTTGAATTGAAATAATTAAACTTTACCGGTGTATGAAAACCTTATTATATCAAAATTCATGTATCTTTTTGAATTGTTAGATTGACAACTTGAGTCTTGAATTATTTGGTTACGAAAAACAATCATTCAAACAATGTTCGATTACAAACACAATTAGCTTAACGTTGAGATTAACATACCATAACATATTTTTTTATTTTTATATTTAAGTCCAAGAGCGTATAATCCTTGTTTTTGACGAGAACAATGTTATTAGATTGTTTATCCACAGTTTTGTAAGACACGTATTTACATATACACGTGTTCTGCACACTGATATCGGTACAATACATTTATATTTTACAAAGTTTCAACCTAAAAAGAAAATGCTAGTTGTCTTCAAAATAAGACATTTGTTTGCATATATTTGTATTTAACGATTTGTTATAGTATCTGTCTCTTGATTAGATATGCAGCAGGCTGAATGGAAACCTGAGAGAAGTAAAGCAAAGTATCAATTACAGTTTGTAGTTAAAACAATCCTCAGAAATTGAACGTCTTTTATAATAAAGTGTATTTTTTACTGTTACTTTTTGTTTTTGGTTTAACTGTCGTTTTTCTCCTCGTGTCTCGTTTTCCTTGACACCACGTGATTTTTCCTTCATATAATTTGATCGTCAATGTACCGTAAAGATTTATATGCATTTTACGTTTCTGGATGTAACATAATATTAGTCTCTGAAATAATTTTAAATCAAAATAATTTAATTGTACCGGTGGAGGAAAACATTATAAAATCAATATACGTGGATCTTTTTTTAGTTGTAAGATTTATAAATTGACTTTCGAAATGTTTGATTATGAACACAACCATTCAAAAAATGTTCGATTACAAACACAACGGTGTCAACGTTGAGATTAACATACTTTATAGTACCAGATTGTAAAATCCGTATTTTTGACAGAGACAATGTTTATAAGTCTATGGAATTTTTACGTATTCTATGTCCTACATTTATATCAGAGACAATTTCAGACTAACTATTTCATTACCTAGAATAAAACTATATCTATATATACAAGTTAGGTCATTTATCTACAGTTTTATAACACATAAATTGCATATGTTGTCTAAATTGCGATCTGAAACAATTTTCCCAATGTATTTCTAGTTTCACTGATCTGATTGGTGGACAATATCTTTCCTTAATGTGTTATTGCTTTAACACTACTAAATGACAATAATTATCTTTTTTTTTTCTTACACTGTTTTAGTCATATTACTTGGAGTTTTTATAAACCCCACCTGGACAAATTAACTACTTTGTCATGGATAACGTAAGGATTACATGTAACAGTTTTTTTTTCAAACATGAGTGACATCATTTATTTCCAATCACCTGGAATACATAAGCTGTAAGCAGTCCAGGACAGCTGACAGAGAGGTCCCTGCTATTTTTTTTACATATCCGATGTGTCAGAGAAAACAAATGGGTGAAAAAAAACGACCTGCATATAAAATTCTTAATAAAAACCTGCATCTATTATTATTTATATTCTGCGCAACCCTGAAACTTTGCAACTTTATATAATTGTATACCTTTAAATTACAAATAAAAAATTTATATCAATATTATTTGTTTTATTTGTTAAAATTTTATATAAGCATCGTTTCCGAAGCAATATACAGATGGAACATTCAGCTAATTTTCTCGTTGGAAATTTATATCAAAATCAAATAAGAAAAATTGGAAGATATCAATATTGATGCATTGTTTCATATGCGCTATTATTTCTAATGTTATTCAAGATGCACGTGTTGTGCACACTGCTATCGTTAACATAATTTATATTTCATAGAGTATAAACCCAAAAAGATAGATGCTGGTTGTCTTCAAAATAAGACATGTGTCATTATCCACTTGTATTTAAAGATTTGTTATGATATATATCACTTGATAAAATATGCAACAGGCTTAATTAAACATGGTAGAAGGAAAATTTATGTATCAATTGAAATGTAAGTAACATATTCAGATTGCGGTTGAAACAATCCTCTGATTTTTAACGTCTTTTATAATAGTTTTTTAATAGTTTTTTTAACTGCTGTGTGTCTTTTTGCGTTTCTTTTTCCTTTTAGCCATAGTGATATTGGATTTTATATGATATGGTCGTCAATATGACTTTTCTTTAAATAAGTATGTTATGTTTTTGGTTTTGAATTAATATCAGTTTTTAATTTAATTTTTCCGGTGGACAAAAACAGTATTATATCAATATTGATGTATATTTTTTGAATTATTATTTGAACTCCAAGAAAAATTCAAAACGGAAAGTCCTTTATCAAGTGACAAATCAAAAGCTCAAACACATCAAATGAATGGAAACGACTGTCATATTCCTGATTTGGTACAGGCATTTCCTTAAGTAGAAAATGGGGAATTGAACCTGGTTTTACAGCTAGGTAAACCTCTCACTTGTATGACAGTCGCATAGAATTCCATTATATTGAGAATAATGTGTGAACAAAACAAACAGTCATAATAGGTAAAATTGTAAAAAAATTCGGGTACAGAAATCAACATTGTGTAATGCGAAAATTTCAGCTAATTTTATCGTTGGAAATGTATGTCAAAACCAAAAAAATAATATAATTGTTATACTCCATGGGCGCTTTTATTTCTAAGGTTTTTCAAGACTTACGTTTTTGTCATTGATATTGATTACATACGTTTAAATTTCACTAAGTTCAAACCTGATAAGAAAGATGTTGGTTGTTTTCAAAGTTAGACATTTGTCATCATAAATTTGTTTTTAACGATTTGTTATGATTTATGTTGATAAAATATGCAGTAGGCTTAATGGAAACATGGTAAAAGAACCTTTATGTAGCAATTAAAAATTTTATTGGTTATTGTTGAAACAATCCTCAGAAATTGAACGGATTTTATGATAAATTTTAGTTTTACTGTTAGTTTTGGGGTTTTTGAACTGTTGTTTTCTTCTCGCGACTCTTTCGTTTTTGCCACAGTGATGTCTTCCTAGACATCATGTGATTTCGATTCTATGTGATTTGTTCGTAAATATACCGTTGATATTTATAAGGAGTTTACTTTTCTGGCTATGATAATAACATAATATCAGTTTTTGAAATAATTTTGAATCAAAATATTTTTTATCAATGTAGGAAAACATTATTACATTAATATTCATTTATATTTTCCTAGTTATAAGATTTATAACTTGAATTCAGAAGCCTTTGATTATGAAATACAACCATTAACAAATGCTAGCCTACAATCAAACTGTGTCAACGTTGAGATTAAGATACTATATAATCCTTGTTTATTACAATGGTATTATATACATTAGTTTACGTAATAATGATGTATGCTATGTCATATATTTATTTCGGAGACAATGTCAGACTTTTTCTTTGCATAATAGCACAATCGCAATGTGCATTACCTATAAAATACTATATATATATTGACAAGTTCAGATTATTTAATCAGTTTTATAACACATGCATTTATATGTTGACCAAATTGCTATCAGAGCCAATCTAACCAAAGAAAGTTGGTATCATTTGTCTGTCCGAGGGAACATAACTGTTACATGTATAGCTTTAACACTACTATTTGAGAATATTTATCCCTTTTTATTACAGGGTTTCCGTCATATTATGAACGTTTTTTATACAAACCGTGTTTCGACGAATTCCCTACAATTGAAAGTAACTTCAGAAACATATCCGACGAAAAGAATAACAGTACTGCTTTCCTATTGTTTTCCCTTAAAAAAATAAGACAAAATTTGAAGATCTCCCAATTAATCTTATGTACAATAAACGCATTTCATTAACTTAATCTTTCATCATGTATGGCCAGATCCAAACAATTGAATCCAAACGTATTATATGTAGAAAAGCAAAGACTACTATAGCTGTGTTCACTACATATAAGTGGTGAAAAATGTAATACAAGTTGTTGTTGATAGACAAGTATAATTCTGTAATATTATGTGTACACATTCTTAAGATATATTATCTTTCATTGCAAGACACGTAATTGAGAGTGGGAAAAAGGGGGACAAGGAGACTTTGTTAAAAAAAAGTTGAAAACGACGAAAATCAATATAAGACAAAAGACGGAAATTCAAATTGCTAATATTGGCGTTTATAGTGTTTGCTCATCTTCATAATTGTATTATAACATGTAATGAAGAAATTTTCCTCATGAACATACTTTTCTAGCATTTGTCTGTCTTTGTCAGTTAATGTTTTTTTGTGTTCCTTAAAACAGTTTACTTTATATAGACCGTCAAAGGGTTTTTGAAAAGGCTGATCATAACGTCTAAATGTTGAACAATGTTATGTTATCCCCATTTGCTTAAGATCTTCTTTGCCATTCTTTTTTAATTAATTTTTTTCTAACAGACTGCATTTGACTGTATTTGCAAGCGTAAATAAATGTATAAAGCAATTTTCATTAAAAAGTAATTTGTTGAAAAGATAATGAAAAGGTCATTTTGCTTTGTCCTATATTTATGTCCACTTTGTTTAACAGCAAACGATTTTAAAAGAAAAGTGAAATCATTAAATGGGTTTTAATTACGTCATTTTATAAACTAATATCTATAATTACAAAAACAAAGTTAAGAAACTAAAATGTGAAATACAAAGCAATCTGTAAATAAATGCAATGGAAAGCATTCAAATAATCAAAGCGAGTTTTCTCAATTGAATGAAGTTTGTTTTATGCGAAAACACATAACGAACTACATTTATAATGTTAAACAAAAATAAACAAGACTTACCTATTGCTTTCTGTAGTACCATCAGTCACAACTGTCATATCTTACACTAATTAATTACATGCTGTTGTTGAATCTTAGTAATCCGATTTAGATTATTGTCATATGTCCTGAAATTCTGTTCTAATATATCCAGCTGCAACCTAAAACACGAAAAGGCGAAACTGTTTGGAGTAAGAAATAATTTCTATCATCGCAAAAATAGATACTGTTATAAATGATCAATAAGGCTCTTGATAATTAAGATGCTTATTCAAAAAGCCTCGGTTTATAAGATTATATTCTTTTGGAAAATTATATAAATCAGTAATTATATTGAAATATTCCTTGTCATTTTCTGGTATAATTAATTATTTTGCACACACCTTGTAAACCAATGGAAAAGATAAAAAGAAACAAAGACAATAAAGTGTGTGTAAACGTAATATTTAAGAATACTTTTCAGTAGAGTCAATTTGTTTCTTACTGTGTACCTAAAGTCTCACGACAGCTCCGATCCGCTATCTGTTGTTTTTGAAGCATTCTTTCTTGATTAAATTTCAATATATATCTGTATACAAATAGTTAGATTTGTTTCGAACAAAATAAATAGGAAGTACACAAAAGCATAAAAAAGGGAATACAGACAGACTCGTACCAGCAATGTTTTAAGTTCTAACAGTGAAGTCGTAGATGATAAATTACAATATAAGACTGAAATAATGTACACCTACGCAAGATTTGAAATATCTGATTGATTGATTGCTGGTTATTTAACGTCCAGTGGCAAATATTTCATGCATGTCCAGGATGAGAACAAATTAACAAAAAATACCAAGGGTCTGAAACATCTCACTATAGTGATTAAAAATCTTACGGCTTGTTATGTTTCAAGCTAATTTCAGATATTTTACAAAAGGGTTCCCAATTGATGCATTATATTTATATCAGTATCTTGTTATTCTATTTTTTCTTTCTAAATATGTATCCAGTATTTCTTTTCGTGTTTATTCAGTTATTTTACACTCTTACTTGTTTTGAATAATTCAAACGCATATCAAATGCAAAACACCGAATAGCAAATATATTTCAAAAAACAGCAAGCATTATTTCTCAACGATATTGAGTTGACTGCAATGAATTTACTTACAGAGACTTTTTAAGACGACTGAAAAAAGATAACAACATCTTTCAACTTCACTCTTAGTAACACAGAGGTCGTCTGTCACAGAAAATTTAAAAATATTATTATAATATTGATCACATCTTTCACTTAAATTGAAATAAAGTATACGACAGGTACAAGTTAGTCTACTTCATAAATTTATCCACGTTTAACGGCGGTGAAGGTCGGATTTCACAAATGTACGTTTTCATTTAAATTTTATTCCAGCAAGCGTATGACGAATTAATATATTCTAGTTTATAAGATATTGGAGACTTTATGCTTTCTATTAGGATTCATCATCATTTCCTTGATAGAGGGGTTGCAGTTTATAGAAAAGCTATTAAACCGAGGGTTCTTTATGGTAAGGTTAAAATAGTTTCTTCGAAAGATACAAGTTGGTTGACAGTATTAGTATCTATGTAACAGATAAATACAGGTATCTTTCATTTGACGTAGCCACATTATTATTCTCGAATATTACATATCATTTTTTGTAATACACATTATCGCTGTTTGTCCGCCATTACTGGATACATAATTCCCCGTAAAATGTTCACGTCACAAGAGAAAATTTCAGTGGCCACAAAGAAAAAGTGATTGTTGCATGACGTCAATAGTTCAAGTGTCGAAATTTCTAGGGTCAAGTGTCGCCGATTCCTAAATCGCGATAAGGTCTATTGACCACAGATGTTTAATGTCATTAGATACACTAGTTTTTACTGTTTAACTTTTTTGCCCTGGCGTTATTAGTCCTTCTTCGACTTATTTTGTTTTATTACACTCGTCCTGTATCTTTTATTACATTTTAAGATTCCTTAAGATCAACTTTTGAACTTCAGGTTGCAGTCGGAAGTTCCTAGACGGCGAAACATACAAAATGTATTCTGCTATACATACGTTTCCAGTCATGGAGTAAGACAGATATGTCCAAGGACAAAAAAATAAGAAGATTCCAAGCGTCGAACACATGTTCGAACAAGAAATAAAGTCAGACAAATATTTTATTAACAAAACTGGATCTAAATATGAATCATGAAAATTGGAATTCTGGGGAATTTTTGAAATATACAGCCTTAGAAGACAGTTTCTATCTATCAACACCTTAAACCAAATAGGCAGTTACCAAATAACATGTGTTAAACTAATTAACGTCCGTAGTACTTTACCTAGAACGTCCTAAACATATGTAAGATAAATGAATGAACTTGATTTATTCATGAAATATAACGTTATTTTATTTATTTCATTCTTTGTTAATTTTTTTTTCTCCCTGTCCATTGCTCTAGACAAATATATTTACCTCAATTACATCATTTCCATAGCATCATACTAAAACAGTTTATAATTGGTGTATTATGAACCGAACGATTTCTTATAATTGATGTGTTTCGTTTAATATGCTATTTATACAAATAACATAAAAAAGCTTCAAATTTTCTGGCTCATTACTTGTGTTTCGCATTTCTTATTCATGCAGCAAATGTTTCAAATCATCAATGATGGATGGTAATATACTTAACCCGGCTTTATATCAGATAATATCAACATTGTTTCATAAATTGCAATTATACACCAAGGTTTACTATAATAGCATTTCCTGAAACATGGCTGTTTCTCGAAAAGAGAGGAAAATTGCTGATTTGACAACTAGTATATGTGTACATTGCACAATTCGCCATTTTAAATCTAAAGGATACTTGATAATAGTTTTAAAAGCGATTTCAAAATTACGTCGAAAACAATTAAAAATAAACCAATGATCACAGGTTTTTGGGGACAAACCCGTTTGGTTATCCTCCCTTTTTTTCAAAAAACCTTTAATTATTTTCGTGTTTTTCTGTGTAAAACTTACATACAGACACTAGCAATAATATGTGTTTACAATTTAATATCAACTTGTAGTTTACTATCCAAAGTGGTCACTGATAATATATATATGAAAGAGAGTATTTTATTCCGTTTCATACCAATTTTTCAATGTGGATTCTTGGAGGAATCTGAAGCCTAATTCATTAAATATTTACTATACTTCGAGTTAATGGACATGATTCGTTTCCGCTATCATTCCTCTTCTTAATGAGTTGCTCTTTTTATGTCATCCAACGTCTGTCGGCAGAATGGGTCCACTTTTCTTTCCGTCGTATTTTAAATTTTAATGAACGGAAGTCTAGTAAGGACGATCTTTCTGATTTTGCGACAAATCCGGTTCCCTGAAACAGATGTTCAGATTCTTATTGTATAGGAAGATAAACAAAAAGAGTCGATTGAAACAGTATAAAGTATAAATAAACTGCAATTCTGCTTGACGAGAACAGATGTGTATCCATAATATCTAATTTGACAAAGGTTCGTATAATTAACAGTAGAATTATTTCCTGTAATCACAATTGTAGTCGATACAAATTACTTTAACTGTTTATGGTGTTGCTATGCGAAATACACACCGAAGCAGAAGCATCGATATTTGAATGTTCGACGGAAAATTTGTATACATTGTATCAGGAATTAATATATGTTGAGTCTTTCAAAAACTGCAAACACGGTATTATTTATTATTGTTTTACTTACATCTTGATTTTTGGTTTTTCATACCGGTATAACAGGGTTAAGTGCATTATCTGTATATATTCAGTTTTATAATCTCTAATGTTATTCTTGGTCAATTTTCGTGCAAAGGGTGTAGTGGTAAAATATTATTCAACCTCCTCACGTTTATAAGCCAGTCCCTTGTCAAAAAGCTATTATGTACATGTAATTGTCTTTAGTCATATCCTAATGTTGTCTTGTAAAGATTACTTGTTGAGGGCATATCATTTATAGTCTCTGCTAAAAAAATGAGAGCTTTTTCGACTCGGGGTGATATACAGATTTCAATATTTTATAAAAAAAAACTTGTCTGTTATAAGTTTGCTTCTATGTGTCATTCTATTTTTTGTGTCGTTTGGGTTGCTCTGTTATTGACTGTCATTCATTTAAAAATATATATTATATAAATCCTATTCTAATGTTAACATGACATAGTAAGTTTGCATGCAGTGACTGTGATTAAATTGGTAAGTGACAAGCGGTGGAGTCAATCACGTCTCAAAATGAATCAAATTGGATCTCAACACTGTAAGATCGGTACAAAACTTCGTCGTATCATTTACACGAAAACAATTTCCTCTAGTAGTTACACATGCATGTTTTATACTACAAGTACAAATTTTGATAGATATTTCACAAAATAAGATTAGTACAAAAATATTTTAATGTGTCACTTTTTAAACGAATAAAAAATTGATACCCAACACTTTTATACTGGTATTCCTGGCCAAACTGTTTTACCAATATGACCCAGACAGTACAAACCTAGTCTACCCTGTACACCAAATATTGCTGGTGATTTAATGCTGCCTTTGCAACAGGGCTATTGCATGACAGACACATAATTTGGAGTTCAGTTTATGGGTGTGATTTATCATAAATTGGTGCATGTACGAAACCCCTGCTTTGTGAATTTCTTCTTTGACAGCAATATCCTGGTGATGTACGACAGCACTTATACCAAATCTTTAAAATAAAAAGTAAGCTTTACTGTGTAATGTTCTTTGATGGCTTTTTAGATCTTATCTACAAGATTTGATTGCATATCCATGAAGTTAGTCAAACACTGTTAGGTGCACATACCTAACATAAAAATAAGAAGATATGGAAAGATTGCCAATAATACAACTCTGCACCAGAGAACAAATGACATAGACGGATTAGAGATAGTGTCCTAGTGATTGTATATGTGTGTGTGTCGATAAATATGAATAACATTGGTGGATTAAGTTTGTTATTGTAATTAAATTAAAATGTTGAAAATCTTCTTTCTTCAGAGACGCTGGGATAACTGAAACCTGTCGTGCTAAAAATTTATTTATAATGTGCTGACAAATGTTCAACTACTTACGTAAGGATATGAAATGGTATAAGTAGTTTATTTACAGTTATCATGCA